AGACCTTTTCTGACATCACGTTTTGTCATTGATGACTGGCTACTCCTCCATGTGTGTTAATTGTATGTGGTGACCTCGCGGGACTCTTAATTCTAATAGTCTGTAGATCAAGCATGTCGGACTCGCACTGAAGGAGGCATGCGGCCCGCCGGCCGTGACGTTGACACGCTGGTCGTACTGGGTGTAGACCGTCCCAAGTTTTCTGAGCAGAGGACATTGCCTACGCCGGGCTAGGATGGACAGAGGAGTCAGGTGGGGAGCTCACAACGCGATATACAGACAGACGGTGTCTGTCTGCTGAAATGTACCCCTGCAGCCCACGTGATTTTATTAGCCAGCGTCACCCCAATAAATCCAACTGAAAACAGGAACAGAGCCCTAAGCCCGTGGTCGCCAAACCGCGGCTCACGAGCCACGTGCGGCTCTTTGGCCCCTTGAGTGTGGCTCTTCCGCAAAATACCACGGCCTGGGCGAGTCTGTTTTGAAGAAGTGGCGTTAGAAGAAGTTTAAACAATTTGGCTCTCCAAAGAAACTTCAATTGTTGTCCAGTTGATATTTGGCTCTGTTGACGTGTGAGTTTGCCGAACACTGTCCTAGGCAGTTTGGCTCAGTGGATACAGCGTCGGTCTGCAGACCAAAGTGTCCCGGGTTCGAATCCGGTCGGGGGCACGTATCTCGGTTGCAGGCTCCTTCCCGGCCAGGGCCCTGGTCAGGGCAAGTGCAAGAGGCAACCAGGTGATGTGTCTCTCTCACATCGATGTTTCTCTTTCTGTCTCTCCCCCTCCCACTCTCTCTAAAAATCAATGGAAAACTATCCTCAGGTGAGGATTAAAAAAAGAAAGAAAGAAACAGGAGGCAGATGATGCCGGGCACAGTGGGGAATAAGGCAGCTGAGGCAGTGAGAGGGGAGAGAGACAGCACGGGGTCTGAGAAGCCTTTAACAGGATGTTAGTGCGATGGAAAGCCCCTGGAGAATTCACACTGAAACGGGAGAGGCGTCTCGAGGCTCAACCACGGGGCTTTGCTCAGGTCTGTGTCCTGCCCAGAGCTGTGGCCATTGTTTGGAGGAATAAATATAGTGCAGTGGTCGGCAAACTCATGAGTCAGCAGAGCCAAATATCAACAGGACAACGATTGAAATTTATTTTTTTAAAATATATATTTTTTATTGATTTTTTACAGAGAGGAAGGGAGAGGAACAGAGCTAGAAACATCAATGAGAGAGAAACATCGATCAGTTGCCTCCTACACACCCCCTACCGGGGATGTGCCCACAACCACACAACCAAGGTACATGCCCCTGACCGGAATCGAACCTGGGACTCTTCAGTCCACAGGCCTACGCTCTATCCACTGAGCCAAATGGGTTTTGGCTGAAATTTCTTTTAAGAGCCAAAAATTTAAAAATTTAAACTATATAGGTAGGTAGATTGTTATTAACTTAATTAGGGTCCTCCTAAGCTGGCCTTTGCTAAAAAGTCAAGGGGCCAAAGAGCCGCAGGTGGCTCGCGAGCCGCGGTTTGCACACCACTGATATAGACCATGCGCTTCGTGCATAATACATACATCGGAGAACTCTAAGCCGTTGTTTTGTGAACTTGGAGGGCCTCAGGAACATGTCGTTACCCTGGGACGGGATGTTGGTAAGACCCTGTCCAGCTCGGAGCTGCTGGGTGCCCTGGAACTGGAGGAACGTCCTCCCTCGGGCGTGCGGGCAAGGAACCCGCAGAGTGAGAAACAACCTGAGGGCAGGTCCATTTACATCGATAATCACCACGTGCACGGTGGGTGCTGCAACAGGAGGGGCAGGAGGAGGTGGCGCAGAGGTTGTGAAACGTGGACCCACGCAGGCAGGAGGCCCGGCTGGGAGGGCGCGGTGAGGGTCACAGGGGGAAGGGACGGAATCAGCAGCATCCGGGGATGGAGACATTCCTGAGGCGGAAGCAGCACCAGGCAGGCCTGAGCGGGGAGCGGGAAGGGTCCCTGAGGATGACTCCTGGGGTCTAGCTCGGGATCCATGAAGCAGGGTGACATGGAACCTTGAAGAAGGAATGGCAGGTTCCTATATTTTGAATTTTCCTCTGCATCCGGCTTGTGAGGAGCTCACAGCCAACTCCGTTCATGAAGCCGGGGTCAGCCCTTGGGGCTCGCTACTCCAGGCAGCAGAAGGGACCAGTGGAACTTTCTATTAGCTTCCACCTGTGTGTTTTCCTACAAGAGTTGAATTCATGCTTAGACAAAACCTTGGGGTTTGGTGTGAGCTAACGCTGATTTCACCAGGGCAGGAGCCTGCTTCATCCATCTTTGTATCCCTACAGTGTCCCTACGCGGCCTTCCTGATACGCAGGCACTCAATCTGCTGGCAAGGGCAGTCCCCCCACTGGAGCCTGGGTAAGTGACTGTGGGCCCAAGACACCTGGCTGCTGCTGCTGCTGCTTCTTTAAAAATAAATAAAAATAAATATATGTTTATTGACTTCAGAGAGAAAGGGAGAGGGAGTGAGAAATAGAAACATCAATGATGAATCATGGATCATCTGCCTCGTGCCCACCCCCACTACTGAGGATCAAGCCTGAACCCAGGCATGTGCCCTTGACCAGAATCGAACCCGGGACCCTTCCGTCTTCAGGCCAACGCTGTATCCACTGAGCACAACCAGCTCAGGCGAGGCACCTGCTTCCTAATCGGTGTGTGACTTGCATCTGTCATTTCAGTTCTCCGTGACTGGCCCCACCTCTTTCCAGGGCTCCACATTCCTAGCTCTAGACCTTTTCCACTTATTTTTTTATTCTCCATCCCTTCATTTTGGCATATGCTGTTGACACGTCATTATGACCATTTAGCAGTGCTCTGTGTTTGCGAAGCGCGAGGCACCCTCTGAGCACTTTACTGCCTGTAGTAACACACCTGATCCACATGAAACCCTACTGAGGCTGGGCCATTATTACCTGTTCTCAGTGAGAGATAAACTACATGCTTGCACACCTCTTAAGAATCCGTGAGCAGGCGCACACGGGGAGCCTGGTCGGGAGTCCAAGTGTAACGTCCTCAGGGCACTACCGCCAGGTCACCCAACAGTGACGATGACAGAGGCTAGCAACTGTGTTACTGCGTTTTTATAAATGAGGCATCTGAAGCTTAACTCCTCGAAGGTTACACCAGTGGTCGGCAAACCGCAGCTCGCGAGCCACATGTGGCTCTTTGGCCCCTTGAGTGTGGCTATTTCACAAAATATGACGTTTTTAGTAAGGGCCAGCTTAGGAGTACCCTAATGAAGTTAATAACAATCTACCTACCTATATAGTTTATTTAAAAAATTTGTCTCTCAAAAGGAATTTGAATCGTTGTCCTGCTGGTATTTGGCTCTGTTGACTCATGCGTTTGCCTCCCACTGGGTTACAGGGTTAGGAAGTCGCAGAGCCGGCCCCAGCTGGTTTGGCTCAGTGCATCGAGCCTCGGCCTGTGGGTTGGATTCTGGTCGGGGGCACATGCCTGGGGTTGCAGACTCCATCCCCAGTGTGGGGCGTGCAGGAGGCAGCCGATCAATGATTCCCTCTCACCAGGGATGTTTCTCTCTCTCTCTCTCCCTCCCTTTCTGAAATAAGTAAATAAATATATGTTAAAAAAAGGAAGAAAGGGGCAGAGCGAGGCCTGAAAGCCGGGCTTCCGCAAGTTCTGAGTTCAGAGCCTGCTCTAGAGGGGCGCAGCAGCCCGGCACCTGCCTGCTGCGTCCGCGCCTGCACCCCGTTAGCGCCCTAACCCTCTGTGTGTGCCCCCATCCCTGAGACCAGAACGAGCACCCTGATGCCCACCGGCAGGCCTGACCATTAGAGGAGTGTTTAGGTGTCACGTGCTCGCAGGCGGGCCTGGGACACAGGACGCACTCAGTAGGGGTCTGCGGTCACTTTCCAGCTGGGACCAGTGCTACCCGCAGAAATATAACGTGAGCTCAACAGTAATTTTAAGTTTCCGAGCAGCCACATTTTACTTATTTTTAAAAATTATTTTATTTATTTTTTCCAGAGAGGAGGGGAGAGGGATAGGGAGCTAGAAACATGGATGAGAGAGAAACATGGATCAGCTGCCTCCTGCACGCCCCCCACTGGGATGGGATGTACCCACAACCAAGGTACATGCTCTTGACCGGAATTGAGGCTGGGCCCCCTCAGTCCGTAGGCCGACGCTCTATCCACTGAGCCACACCGGTTAGGGCAGGAGCGGCCACATTTTAAAAAGCAAAAACAGCCGAAACCTTGGTGTGCAGGAGGCAGCTGATCGATGTCTCTCTCTCACTGATGTTTCTAAACTCTCTATCCTTCTCCCTCCTCTCTGTAAAAAAAATCAATAAAAATATTTTTTTTAAAAAGCAAAAAGACACACAGGAAGCCTGCATGTTCATGCTGACCTATGTCACCCCCATCAACTTAGTGTATGTAAAAGAGCAAAAAGAAACACCGAGTTATTTTAAGTACGTTTTACTTAATCAAATACATACAAAATTGTAATGAATTCTGTAATCAATGACCCGACTTACAATCACCAATACAAAAATTGTGAATGCGACGTTTTATATATTTTTGGTATTAAAGGTCGCAAATCTGGTAGGTTTTCTTTTTTTGTTTTTAATCCTACAGTATCAAGAATTTACTCATTTATTCAATGACAGTCATGTCATCATCTTCTGGAACATCATCATAACAATCCAGTTCCTGAATTTCCTGGTGAATTTCTCTTCTTTTTTTTTTACAAACCTGGTAGGTTTTCTACGCGGGGGCACGGAGCGGCCACGTCACTGCGCGGTGACCAAGCGGCTCCGCCCGGCCCCTCCGGCCGCGGCCCCGCCCCGCCCCGCCCCGCCCCGCCCCGCCCGGTGACGTCACAGAGCCCGGGGCGGCGGCCCGGAGACCCAGCCCGGCCGCGTGCTCCCGGCCCCGCGTCTGAGAGGAGCGGCGCCTCACACGGCGGCGGCCGCGCGGGCCGCGCTAACGGGCGGCTGAGGGGAAGGAGGAGGCGGCGGCCGGCGCACCGCGCCCCCAACCGCTCGGCCCCGCGCTCGCGCCGCTACTCCGCAAGGTCGGGGCGGCGGGGCCGGCGCCCATGGCCCGCCGGGCCGTGCGCCGCCCCCTCGCCGCGCTCATTGGCCGGCCCGCGGCGCCCCGCCTCCGCGCCGGCCCTCAAGAGGGCGACGAGGAAGCGGCGCCGCCCGCGCCCCGCCCCTCGGGCTCCTCGCTGGCTCCCGGCGCTCCGGCCGCTCCCGGCCCGTCCGGCTCCTCGGCTCCGGCTCCGGCTCCGGCTCCGCGCGGCGGCGGGTAGGCGCGGCGGCGGGCGCGGCGGGCGCGGCGGGCTCCCTGAGGCGGGGCGGGCGGGCGGCGGCCACCCGGTGCGGGGCCAGGGCGGGCGGGGGGGCGGCTGCGGGTCCGGAGCGGCGGCCGCGGCCTGGGTGGGGCCGGGGACGATGGAGACGCGAAGGTCGTCCCGGGAGGACCGGGGGGAGGACGGGGCGGCGGGCCGCGGGCCCGGGCGGGTGTCCGGCCGGGGCCCGGGGCCGGCAGCGGCCGGCGGGGCTGCCCACGCGGCGCCTGAGCCTGACGCCCGGGCTGACATGTGTCCGGCCGCGGGGCTGCCGTCCCGGGCGGAGGATGGGGGCCGGGGCCCGGGGCGCCGGCCACGTTCCCGGCACCGAGGCTGCGGCTCAGGCCGGGCTGGCCGCCGGGGTCTGGGTGACAGAGCCCCGGGGCCCGCGGGGGCCGTGTCCGCCGGTCCTGCCGCGGGTGGACGGGCGGAGGCAGTGATTGCACCGCGGCCCGCGGGGCCCGGCCCCGGGCAGCGCGCTCCTCCCGGCCGCCGCCGCCGCCTCCTCCTCCCCCTCCTCCTCCTCCTCCTCCTCCGCCTCCTCCTCCTCCTCCTCCCGCCGCCGCCGCCTCCTCTTCCTCCTCCCCTCCTCCCCCTCCTCCTCCTCCTCCTCCTCCTCCTCCTCCTCCTCCTCCTCCCGCCGCCGCCGCCGGAAAGCCCCGTCCTCCCCGCGCCCCCGGGCCGGGCCCCGCGCCCTCCCGGCCAGGCCGCGGGCCTCCCCGCGGGCCGCTCCGCGGGGGTGGCCGCGGCCTGGCCTGGGGATCGGTGCGCGCGGCGCGCTCGGGGGAGCGGGGGGAGCGGCCGCGGGCTGCGAGGCCGGGAAGGGCGTGGCGGGGCCTCCAGCTGCTCGGGCCGCCGGAGGGTAACCCTGCCCGGCCGTCAGCTGAGCGGGACGGGGAGCCGCCGCGGCTATTTTTATAGCCGCCCGAGGCCAGCCCGGCCCGGGATTTGGGGCGAACAGTTGTCCTGCCTCGGCCCGGTGTTTGGCGGACAACAGAGGAGTTGCTAGGCGAGCGGCTGGCTGCTGCGGGCGCAGGTCCGGAGAAGCGGGGCGACTCTGGGCGGTGTCGGGTGTCTTTTACATCCATGTCCTTGCATAGTCCACACTCCTTCTGTGCTTTTTAAAAAAATCTATTTTTTATTGGTTTCAGAGAGGAAGGGACAGGGAGAGAGAGAAACAGTGATGAGAGAGAATCGTGGATGGATGGATGGGCTCCTCCTGCACGCCCCCTGCTGGGGATGGAGCCCACGACCCTGACCTCATTGAATCCGGGACCCCTCGGTGCGGTGGTCACACTGGGCCACACCCGCCGGGTGGGTGGTGGGAACTTGAGAAGACCTTTCCCACTCCCCTCCGGCTCAGTGTGTTTTTGAGTCATCACTTCATATATTTGTCACCCACCAGACATTAACTTGTGCTAAAAGCTCCAGCCAGTAGTAAGATAGGTGGACTAGCTTTAGTCAGAGAGGTGACTCTTCCTGATCTTAGTGTCGCCTTCTTTTATCTGATCTTGTTTCTGGATCTGGGGATCTATCCTTGGGCCCTGGAAACTTTTGCTGTTGACACTTCAAAAAAATTTTTTTAAAATGTATTTTTACTAGAGGCCCAGTTCTTGAAAATTCATGCACTGGAGGAGGGGGTCCCTCAGCCGAGCCTGGGCAGGGGGCCACCTGGCGATCAGGGGAAGATGACACCTCATCACACCTCTGCTGCTGCCACTGCTGCCACTGCCCGCAGCACAAGCCTCAGCCGGCCTGTTACCTGAGCCTGGGGCGGCCCTTGGTGGCTGGGGGGCGGCGGGGAGGGGGGACTCTGGAGGCAGGCCTGCAGAGCGGCCGGGCCTGGCCTTGCAGTGCGCCTGCTGCCCTGGTGGGCTGAGGGGACTGGGTGCCGCCAGCCATCTTGTGGCTGTGGGCACTGCCATCTTTGAGGGCAGGACAGTCAATTAGCATATTTCCTTCCTTATTGGCTGTGGGTGCTGCCATATTTATGGTGGCGTGAGGGTCGATTAGCATACTTCCTCTATTACCTAGATAGGATTGGTTTCAGAGAGGAGTGGACAGGGAGAGAGAGACAGAAACGTCAATGATGAGAGAGAATCATGGATCGGTTACCTCCCACACGCCCGCCACTGGGGATTGACAACCCAGGCATCTGCCCTTGACTGGAATTGAACCTGGGACCCTTTGGTCCAGAGGCCCATGCTCTATCCACTGAGCCACATTGGCCAGGGTCACACTTCAAATTTTTGGCATAGCTTTTCCCTGTCTCCTACCCCTCCTTCTTAGTATTAAGCGTGGGTATTTGGTATGTAGGTTTTATTCTTCCTTAGGAAGCAAGAAAATATGAAAGGAGCATTCTGACCAATGGAAGTCATCTTGTTGCTTCGTGGGTTTTGTCAATTTCACTTGATGAATTTTGCATTCATTGATTTTGACGATTTCACTTTGTCTTTCTAAAATACACCTTTCGAAGTAGGTTACTGTGGACGTCTTGCTGGGAGTGAGCTTTTGAGACAGTTGGGGTTAAGGAAGGGGCCTGGCCCGTGAGGCTCAGCAGCTGAGCGTCAGTTCCCTCGCAGCCCCGGCTTTGTCGGGAAGGATGTCCAGTCTAATTAGCATATTACGCTTTTATTGTTACCGATAATGGATTTACCTAGTTATGAGTAAAGTAGGATAATGCAGTTTTTGTTTTTAAAAAAAATATATTTTATTGATTTTTTTACAGAGAGGAAGAGAGAGGGATAGAGAGTTAGAAACATCAATGAGAGAGAAACACCGATCAGCTGCCTCCTGCACCCCCCCACTAGGGATGTGCCCGCAACCAAGGCACATGCCCTTGACCGGAATCGAACCCGGGACCCTTCATTCCGCAGGCCGACACTCTATCCACTGAGCCAAACCGGTTTCAGCGGATAATGCAGTTTTAACTGTCACATAAATTTCCAAAGTATTTTGTAGATGGTAACTAATGTAAATTTTACTCCTGTACTAGGTAGGTATTACTATTTTTCAGCTCAAGTGGAGAGGTGAAGTCATTTGCTTTTGGCCACGCAGGAAATGACTGTGGCTAGAATCGACCTATTCTCATTCCCAGTGTAAGCTTGTCCCAGCAAAGCGGTCTCCATATCAAATGTCTTGACTAACAAGTCAGCCTTTGTCCCTTCTTGGTGGGATTGCTCCTTTTAATAGAGAAGCTGCTGGGTTTTGGTTTTTAGTGTTTGTTTATTTATTTTTATTTTGGCAGTGTTGTGTGCAAGAATAATTCCTTTTCTGGACTTCTTCCTTCTTGTAGAATCATGGGATTGGAAGAAATAGTAGAGATAATTAGTGCAATCACAGTATAAGTGATCCCTCCAGCCTCTGTTCAAGTATTCCCCAAGATTGGGACTTCACAGCTGGTGGCTATCAATGCCAAGTTTGCAAATTTGTCATTTTATGTATTTAAAAAAATTTTATTGACTTTTAGAGAGAGAGAAGAAGAGAGAGGGAGAAAAAGAGAAACACTGATGTGAGAGTGAAACATCGCTACCTCCTGCACGCCCCAACAGGCGATCCAGCCTGCACCCTGGGCATGTGCCCCCATTGGCATCCGGAAGCCAACAGCGAACTCAGTGCATCGGGCAGCGCCCAGCCGCCTGAGCCACACTGGCCAAGGCGCATTGTGGTCCTGAAAGACTTCCCCGAGGACCGTCTCCAGCTGCCTCCCTGCAGTTCTTCCTGGTTCTAATGTGCTGCCGACAGTATTTCCCGGTAGCTCCCATCTCCAATGACAGTTACCTGTCCCACTGAAGTGCTTTCTTTTCCGGACAAACAGTTGTGTTCTTGCAGCCTCCTCTTAGGAGCTGCCTCTAACCTCTCCGCGGGGGGCATCCTGCTGTAGACATGCTGCAGGGGCGGCTTGTACAGGCCTGGAGGTGACGGGATTAGGAGTCAGGAAGGACCTGCCCTTGGGGAGCTTGTCAGGCTTTCTGTCAGGGCTGCTTTAGAAGACATGGGCTCTCTCTCTACCCCCTTCCCACGTTAGTCTATACTTCACTCTAGGTCCTTTTCTCCAGAACCGATACCGTGTTTTCCCGAAAATAAGACCTACTACAAGTTTCCTTCTGAGTGAAATACAAGGCATCCCCCCGAAAATAAGGCATCCCCTAAGCTAAACATGAGAGATTTGGTCCACTGATTCTGAAAGAAATGGAGTCACAAGAAATTCACCAGGAAATTCAGGAATTGGATTGTTATGATGATGTTCCAGAAGATGATGACATGATTGTCGTTGAATAAATGAGTAAATTCTTGATACTGTAGGATTCACAGTTTGTCTGGTTTGTGTTGACAACTACCGTACTACTGTACCATATACAGGTAATAAATTTCCTTTATTTTCATTTAACAATAAATGTGTACCATATTCTTCTTCATGGAAAAATAAGACATCCCCTGAAAATAAGACCTAGTGCATCTTTGGGAGCAAAAATTAATATAAGACACTGTCTTATTTTTGGGGAAACAGGGTATTAGCCCGTCTTTGTGTTTAGTTGGCTGGTTTTTTTTTTTAATTTGCTTTCAGAACCTGTGTGTTTGATTTTTTTATATTCTCATTTTCTTGCTCTCTGTTGTTCCAAAGGATATTTTTGGAATCCTAATTCTATTACCATGTACCTTTGTTATCCTCCCCATGTCTATAATTTTGATATGTTCTATTTTTTTTTTTTTTTACTTGAATAAGCTAAGGAAATACATAGAGTGCCAAAATAAAATCTTGGTATGCAGTGAGAGACAAAACTTCATGCCTTATTTTCTTCTTACTTCTGACTTGTATGACTTTAGTAGTTCCAGGAGATCTTGGTTCTGATTTTTGCTATAGTTTGTGTGCCAAATTGTAATTATTAGTAAAATGTTTTATATCTTACTATTCTGAAGGCACAACTGGTTTTTTCTAATGGTAGTTTTTGATTAT